AACTCCACAGGCAATCTTCTTCATCTCCATTTCTAGTTGAGACCTGAAAGGTATTTTTTGCTTTTTTTTAGTGGTAGTTTTGTTGCTTTTTTTTTTTGTTTCTTGCAGGTCTGAAGAGAATTAGATGGTGATTAAGGAGATTTATAGGGAGGTGATTAAGTTGTTTTTAGAAAAGTTTATTTTAGGTATCGATTTTTAACTAAATTGTTTAGAAATTACATCAATAATGTAAGTTAAAGATACCGATCACTGCTGATTTTATGTTCCATTGTGTGGCTTTGAGTCATTTAAGCGTTTCCATCCGTATTTTTACCGGGTCAAAAGTATATTTCTAAATTAGAAATTCTATTTAGTTTGTTTACGAACTTTTAATCAAATTAAATAAGCATACTTTAATTTTTGAAAACGGCACTAAATAATAAATAGATACCAGTGTTAAAAAAATAACAAAATATAGCATACTCAGTGTTCCTCTTAATCGTAAACCGTTTTTAGAGTTATCGGTCCGCACTTACAAAATTTCAATTAAATTTCAGTTTCTTTGTATCTCATGCTTATATTTGTGTGTTTGGAAAGGTATGTGATGCCTTAGTTCTATAAGGTTAATTTGGTAACCTAGTTGATCGATACAAGATAGCAGGCTCCGCATATCAGTTCACTCGGTGACGCCCAGGCCTATGGATAGCTATATTTTGATCGGTTCTAAAATGTATACAATATGGAGCAATATGCAGGTTGGTTACTAAGCTATCTATGGCTTGTCTAACAAGATAAATCGCGAAAATATGATCATCCATAAGAATTAATACTGGAAAGTTTTACCAAAAGAAATAATAATACTGGAAAGTAATCGTGTTTAACGTGGGAAAGTTTGAGTGGCAGTTATCTTGCTTCTTTAAATTAGTATGAATGTTCTAAATGAATCGCATGGATCTTGTGAGGTCCGGTGTCTTCATGACGTTATCTCATTTATGGATTCTTCAAAGAACTCCAAGGCCCACTAAGCAATAGAGTTTGTTTGTTCAACTTTTCAAATAGGCTGAAAGTCACGATCATTATATTGATGAATAGATTCTTTGAAAGCATAAAAATACGAGGGATGGATGTTCGGGTATCCATTTGGGTTCGGTTCGAATATATTCGGATTTTGGGTTTTCACAAATTTTAACCTCATTCAGCTATTTCTAATGGTTCGGGTTCAGTTCGGATCTTTGCGGGTTCGGTTCAGGTTTGGATAACTCAATTAAATTATTTTTAAAATTTTAAAATGGATTATATACTTTAAATTTCTAAAAATCTATAAAAATAATATATTACAAATAATTGAATAACATAAGTCAAAATATCTAAAATTAACATATAATTAGTTTGATTTGAATATTTGGATTGTGAATCAATTTTTTTTTTTTTTGTATTTTTGATGTTTTGAGTGTACTTTAACAATTTTAGATATGTATGTTTGAATATTTACATATATTTACAATTATTTTGAACAATTTTAAAGTATTTTATATATGTTGAATGTTTTTATATATATTAAATATCTTTCGGATATATTCGGATATCCGAAATACTTCGTTCGTATCAGGTTTGGTTACGGTTCCTTAAATATCAAAATTTTGAACCCATTCAGATATTGAATCAATATGGTTCAGATTCGATACTACTTTTTCGGATTGGATTCCATTCGGTTCTTCGGATCCGGGTTTTTTGTCCAGCCCTAAAAATACTAAAGATTATCTATACTATTATATAAGAAGTAATTTTGCTTAGTTGTAAACTTCTCCTTAATTTTAGGTAATTTTGTTTATTTATATTATTTAAATAATTTCATATACAATTTATTATTTAATAAAAACAAATTTCTATTAATAATATTATACTTTCAGAAAATAAGATAATTCTTATGTATTATATTTTTATCTGTAAAATATCTTTTTTATCATAAAAATTAAAAATTAAGTTAAAATATTAATAGTTAAATATAAAGAAAGCAATGCTGATTTATCAGCTTCTTCATGTTCTTATACTTTGCTTATTTATCATATTTTAATAATTTCATGTATAATTTATCAAATAATAAAACGAATGTATAGAATAATACTAGATTTAAAAAAAAAAAGATAATTCTTATGTATTAGATTATTATCTTCAACATATATTTTCTATTAGAAAATTTGAATAAATTATCTGATTTGTAATTTCTCCATGATTTAGGCCCTTTTAAAAAAAAAAAAATTCTTCATGATTTAGATAATTTTGATTATTTGTCATATTTTTAATAATTTCATATAAAATTTATTATAAAATAAAAACGAATTTCTATTAAAAATTATATTTAAGAAAAATAAGATAGTATTATATTGTTATTTTGAAAATATATTTTTATTATAAAAATAAAAAATTAAGATAGATAAATTATAATTAAAATAAATTAAAACAACACATTCTTAAAAATATATTTTTAAAATATTTCGTTATGTGAGTGTTGTCATTTTTTTTGTTATGTGAGTGTTATCATCTACTCTATTAAAATAGAGTCATTTTTTTATCTACTGATACAATTTGTCATTTAAATTTGGACCTTTTCTAGAATGTTACAAATAATATAAATCATATAATTGATTGAACCGTATTACTTAAATTAAACCAACACAATTAATGTAAAGAGACGACCTATTGTAAACTACCTTCAAAATACGGCAGGTATCTATGTGTATACCAAAAACACATATTTTCTCCTACAAATATGGAATGTTCTAGAAGAATATATATCATCAAAATATGAAATATGTAAATCTACTAATTATAATTAAATTAAACCAGTGGTTATTTATGAAATATAGTCTTGGGTTTACTTTTATTTTTTGAACAAATTGTATAGTTTGGTTTTTTGGCTTAGTATTAAGAAAAAACTCCAAAAACATTGAATAAACTTTTCACCTTAAAGATCAAAAAATCAATTATTATTTCAGACCCAAAAAGTATTTAATATTTTTAACAAAACAAAATTATCTATTATTAATCATTTATTTTAAAACATGTTAATATATTTTTTATTTTAAATAACAATCACTTTGTTTTGATAAATTTCAATGGTAACTTTTAAATAATTTATTGTTTTATTTTTCTTAAATAATTTACTGATTAAAAAAATGTAAAGCAAAACCAAAAACCAAATCTAAAAACTAAAATCCAAAACCAAAATCTGAAAACACATGTTATATTTTTTTTGCTTTGTTTATTTACAAATTAAACTATTTCAAAAAAATTTTAAAAAAATTGTTATCATCTTTTCATTTTTAAATTAGATGTTCGATTATTTGAGATTTGTTTGTTGGTAATATTAGTTCAAACTAACTCAGCGGTTTAAAAATTAAAAACTCAAACCAAAAACTGAAAATGAAAGTAGAAACTTAAAATAATAAAAACCAAAAACCAAAATCTAAAAATAAAAACTGAAACTAAAAACTAATGAAAAATAATCATCACCACAAATTTTGGTGAACTGATTTTATATCAAAATATTCTTTAAATTAAGACAAAACCCAATTATATAAATTTTTAATGATAAAAAATTTTCGCGCTTTCAAGCGCGGATCAAAATCTAGTTTATAATTAATTTTAAAACATAAATCATAACTTATTATATTGGATTAAATTAATAAAATATAGATTAATAATAAATTGTACGGAAATTATGCTCGTATGTACGCGGGGGGGGGGGGGCAAAACACCTAATATATTCGTATGGGTTCTGGGAAAGGATCCCCAGAGTACTGGGTAGCTGTGGTTAAACTAGGTAAAATCCTTTATGAAATGGGTGGTGTATGAGAAAATATAGCCAGAAAAGCTATTGAAATAGCGGCATCAAAAATGCCTATAAAAACCTAATTCATTATTTCTGAATAGGAATATAGAATGAAAAAGCCAAATAACAGTTAAGGATAAAAAGATTATAAATTTTTTTTTGACAAACAATATTTTTTTACTTCGTCCTGTGCACTTCTTTTAGTTATGTACTTTGCGTTTGATCACATCACCTAAAAGCTTTCGGTGAAATTAAACATTAATGGAACATAAAAGTTGATAACGAAAATCACTTAAGAACAAACGTATGCACCGAAAGTCGATCACTGAAAGGTGCCCCGACGATAAACTATTTTTTACTCTTCCCAAACCTATTTGCTCTCTTTACTTTATAAGAAAACGTTTTACCAATAGAAAGAACAACTTAAACTGATCAATAAAATAGGATCATCAATTCATCATCATGACCAGATATGAGATTTTGGAGTTATAAAGAATTACTAAAAAAACTAATAATTTGTAAAAATAAATTGAGGCTTGTCTATTTATGTAACTTTTAGAAAATTTGAGGGTCAATACTAATGTTTAAATGGATGTGTCTAGATATGTCGCTCAATACAATCTAGCAGGAATAAGATGTGAACAGAAAATAAATAGACATGCTTGCAGTACTAATACTTAGCTTGGTTTTATCTGATTTTTCTTGTTAATGATATGAAAGAGTCCAAAGAGAACAGAAAGGTAAGCTCGACTCGAGGACTGGCGTTGGTTGCACCAAGGAGAGAAACATATTACAAGTTTTCAAATTAATAAGAATGATTGATTATTAAATCAACCCACAAGGCCACTACCTCTTCACAAAGTTAAATTTGCATATTCCAAAGCATTTAAAAATGACAACTTGTGGTGGTTGATCTGTTTATCAAGCTTGACAGATGACAAGAACTTACTTAAGAATCTTACTTAGAGATATAATATACATATCACTTTCACCCCATAACCACATCCACATCGCTAAGAACTCCAAAACTAACCCTATATGAATTTTCCCCCCAACTCAACTCTACCCCTCAAACCTATAAGGTCATTATGAAGTCTATAAAAATGAAATTTCCGTTTTTCATGTTAAATTCATCTATCTATCTTAATATAATGAAGTTTTAGATGAAAAGAAGAAAAATGAGAGACATGAAAGATTAAAGGTTCTGGAATTTAAATTAAGGTCTCCAACATAACAAAAGAAGACAAATAATCATACAATAATGATAATAATATAAACAAGTATCATGATAATGGGAGAAAGAAATTCTAAAAAAGAAAATTGAAAATAAGAGAAATTCTTCTCCTCTCTTCCCATAAAGCCTTTTTTCTTGTTTTGTTCCCTTTAACTTAGATGAAAACTAATAAATCAAAAACAATAAAAACTTCAACCTCTTTTCTTCCTTGTTACCCTTCTACCACCACCACCTGTGAAAAGAGGTTTTTATATCTACCACAAAGCGAAAGACCAAGACCATTAAAAAATGTGCTTCATTGGTCTTAGCTTCTCAGTTATGCTGAGCTACGAGCTGATCGAGCTGCATTTGCTTAATCCAAGCTTCAAGCCCAGCATGGTCTGTTACTGCTTCAACCGTTGTTGTCTTCTTCAAGTTTTGGCCAGTAAATGTAGAGTTCTCTGCTTCCTCTTTAGCCTCATTTGGAGTCTCCTTCACTAATGACTGAACCCATGACACATCAGGCTCATCACCATCAAACGATGAAGATGATCTTAACTTACCAAGTGCCTCCTCTGAGCTCATTCCCCAATCCGGTTCACCATTTGAAGAACCCCACCACGAGTTGCTGTTGTTGTTGTTATTAACCGGTGAACCAACAACAGAACTTATGTTTGTTCTAAGCTCCCTGGAGCTTAGGCTACGGAACTGATGTCGCTGTTGCTGCTGCTGAGCCAACATGGAAACACGTGCACTCATTGGTGAATTAGGCTCAACCACATTCCGAGGAGAAAACAAAGAGTGATCCATGCTCTTTGGTGAAGACAACATGCTCTCTTGCTGCCGTTGCTGCTGCTGTTGGAAATGGTTAAAGACAGCTGACTTATATGTCGGCGAGAAAACAGCTGAGTCAGCAAACCTAGGAGAAGAAGAAGAGCCTTCCGCTGAGAAAAGATCATCAAGATTCGAATGAGGCAATGACTTCATCCTACCAGACCAACTTAATGAGTTTGAAAACTCGTTGAGGAGCTGCTCCTGCTCGAAATCCGACAACATATTGAACTCATCTCTAGCACTGAGAGAAGATCTTAGCCTGCTTGACTGTACATTGCTTCCAGGTAAATGCAAAGCAGGAACATTCGGTTGCTGCCAAGAAGGTGAGAAAGGAGACACAGATGATGAAGGCGAACCAGCATTAGACCGAGGAGAAGGAGCAGCTGAGTACAAAGGTCGAAGCTCATCAGGCGTATGCGCAAAGAAACAAACACGACGAGCACAACCAGTTCCATCTTTGCAAAGACGCGTACGGTACTGAGCAGGGTGAAGCCAGGATTCAAACACACCGTGCGCGTACTCACACATGTCCCCTCGTGTACAAAAACAAGCTCCTTTCTTGAAATCAGGACACGGAACACAGCTGTAATGATACTTCCTCGGGTCTCTCCTCCTCGCGTTTTCTCCAGGGTGAACAAAAGGACACTCAGTCCAATCATGAGAGTAGGCACGAGAGCAAGGCCTGACTTTAAACGAATACATTCTAAACTCATCCGTAGCGTAGATACTGTTCTTGATATCAGGGAAAGACGGATCAACATTCTTGAACTCAATAGGAGAATGAGACAGAAGAAGCTCCTGAAGCATAAGCTTCACACCTTCAAGCCTATGAGGGACAACGATAACATCACCAGCTCGTTGACCAACACCATCCAAAGCATCCAAATCAGCTCCAGCTGAGAGAAGCAGCTTAACCACTTGTACAGCATTCACAGCTCCACCAGAGGCAGCGCAGTGTAGCGCGGTGGTCTTATCATTGCCACAAGCTCTGTTCACGTTAGTCAAAGGGAGAATAACTTTGATCACATCGATGCTTCCGTAAGTAGCAGCAACCATCAACGGAGTCCTGAGATCGTTGACCATAGATTTAGAGCCTTTTTGACGACCGTACCAGAGACCAGGCTCGTCTACACAAGAAGGGTCTCTGTCTATAGATAACTTTACACCTTCTACATCGTTGTTTGCTGCAAGTTCAAGGAGGCTTGCGAAGGTATCCTCTGTTTCGACTCTCAAGTGATTCATCTGCGGATTCGGATTCTGTATCATCATCATCAAAAGGATCAAACTTTCAATCAGAAAAGATCATCTCATACATATAAAAATAATAAAGAGATAAATTTTCTGATTACTTTCTCTATTGATTTCCAGAAACTAGAAAAAAAAAAACTAAGTCTGAAAGTAATTTCAGACAAGAAGAGTAGGTTCTGTCTTAACGATTCCCAAAAGCAACCGTTTTTATTCTTCCATAAAACCAGTAAGTCAAATCAATGAAGAATCAAAGCAAAGAGAGTTTTGTAATAACGTTACTTCCAACAATAAAACAAGGAAAAGATATATATGATCAGAATCTTGATCGGAACAAAAGTCAAATAGGATAATAAATATAAATGGATCTTTGTTGCATGTTACACGTACACAGAGATTACAAGGACTTTAGAAGATGAGAATCATCTTGCTTGCCGGAGACTTTTCGATGGTTCAGTTTCCAAGTAGATCTAGACGAGAAGAAGAGTGTTGTTTATACAAGTGTGAAGTAAGAGGAGAAAAACATTATCTTCCCGAGAAAACGAAAAAGAAACGGTGAAAGTCTTTAGAGAGAAGAAGACGAAGAATAGTAGTAGAGCTTGTTTTTCTACTTTCTCCCAAAGCATAGATATTTCACTAGAAAAGTAGAGATTTATTTCCTGAGAAAACATTTTCAGACATTTAATTTTATATTTAAACTTCCCTATCCAATAGGGTAAAGGTGTATTGATGTAAGGGTAAAATCGTCTTCTAAATTCCAAATGCTGACTTGGTAGAGTTTGATTGGAAGTGGATACGCATTGTATCAAAGTTTTGTCCTTAAGTCAAAATCTGTAGTAATTCCATTTCTTAAAGAGTAAGGAATTAGAATTTGACCCCAAATAAAAAACAAAATAAGGAATTAGCTATCTAGCAGCAGTTGAGATACATCGTATTAAAAGTCTATTATGATATACGTGTAATGTGTGCAGGGATGGACCAAAAAACCATAGATCTAAACCAAACCGACTCAAAAGTAAACTATGAGCGGAAATGAATTCAACATCAACACCTAAACGAATTTATTTCTACTGTATTTCAAGTTTTAGTTTTATTCGAATGTGAAATGATACCTAATAAACATTCATCTTCTTATATAAGAGTAACCAGGATGATCCAGTGAATCAAGCTCTTAGAGAACTTAATGAGTCTCAACACCCTTTCGAAGAGAAGGAGGCTAGGCTTTGCTATTGATTCGTCATGCGCGTACAACGTTACTTGTTTTTGGCACAGACTAAGTCTTTTGTTCGTTCAAGTGTTTGTAATGGTGGAACAGAACCAGAACCAGAACTAATGTTTAAGATAAAATGGATTAAAGAAATGAGTAGCTGACAACAAAAAACATTTTAAGATAAATTTTAGTAATTTTTTATGATTTTTGAATCAGAGAACCTATCTATACTAGTTTAAAAATATTTAGAAGTTAAAAGAAAATTTCCATTAATTTTGTTAGCGATCCATAAAAGTTATAGATTTGTTAAAAAATGAAAAGACATGACACATGGAGATTATGTTCCAAAGTCCCAACTTGTTCTTTGGCTTTTGTCTTTCTTTTGACTCTCTGCTTTGGTAGCTCTTTTCAATTTCATTGGCAACTTTTTTTTCTTTCAAATTTCAACTGTTAACCTACACTAACTGCTGATCTTATCCCTAGTTCAAAGCCCACAACAACTAAAAGAGATCACAACTTTTGCATATTTCTAGACTTCTAGTTAAAAATCGTGCCGAGAACTTTATTGGGCTAACAAAAGCCCATTAACCTTTGCTCTGCCATTTAACCTTGATAAGGCCCTTAAAAACCCTAACTCATTTTCCACCATCTGAACAATATATAAACACACTTTCGCCGCAAGCTAGGGCTTCCTCTTCCTCACATAACACACAAACCGCAGCCTATTCCAAAACTCTTGCCCATTCGAAAATGGCCGAAGCTGGAGGAGAACGCGGCGCCGAGCGAGGAGGAGACAGAGGTGGATTCAGTCGTGGATTCGGAGGCCGTGGCGACCGTGGTCGTGGTGGTCCAAGAGGACGTGGAGGACGACGTGGAGGCCGTCCCGCCGAAGAGGAAAAATGGACACCAGTGACCAAACTTGGCCGTCTCGTGAAGGAAGGAAAGATCCAGAAGCTTGAACAGATCTACCTCCACTCACTCCCCGTCAAGGAGTACCAGATCATCGATCTCCTCGTCGGTCCAACGCTCAAAGACGAGGTGATGAAGATCATGCCTGTTCAGAAACAGACGAGAGCTGGTCAGAGGACGAGGTTCAAGGCCTTTGTTGTTGTCGGAGACACTAATGGTCACGTTGGTTTGGGAGTGAAGTGTTCTAAGGAGGTTGCTACGGCGATTAGAGGTGGGATTATATTGGCGAAGTTGTCTGTTATTCCGGTGAGGAGAGGGTACTGGGGGAATAAGATTGGGAAGCCGCATACGGTTCCTTGTAAGGTTACTGGGAAGTGTGGTTCGGTGACGGTGAGGATGGTTCCTGCGCCGAGAGGTGCTGGTATTGTGGCGGCTAGGGTTCCTAAGAAGGTTCTTCAGTTTGCTGGTATTGATGATGTTTTCACTTCTTCAAGGGGGTCTACTAAGACTCTTGGAAACTTTGTCAAGGTTTGTTCTTTCTTCTTTTAGAGCTTGCTTAGAGATGAAAGTTGGGAACTTTTGATTGTTGCGTGTGAATTAAGCTAAAATGTCAATTACATTGTGAAAGTTGAAATCTTTCTGTCATCTTGGATCGTTAAGTGATTGTTGAGTGCCATTTGTTAGCTGTGTTCTGTAGTAAATGATGTACTGAGCTATGTGTTTGTCGTGATTTAGTGGTGTGTGTATGTCTGATGGCAAGCTTTACAGTCTCTTAGACTGAACATCATTGATAGAGATTTGAATGCATTGTAACCTCAAGTTTGTACCTATTTTCATACCTAAACACGTCTTTCAGTAGTACATCTTGCGTTGATATATTGGGGTTTTGTCAATTATATATATTGATGAATCATGTGTGTTATGTCATTGCAGGCTACATTCGACTGTCTTCAGAAGACTTACGGATTCCTCACTCCAGAGTTCTGGAAAGAGACGAGCTTTAAGAAATCCCCGTATCAAGAGTACACAGATCTGTTGGCCCTAAAGACACCTACTACCAAAGTCATCACCGAGGGTGAAGACCAAGCCTCTTAAATAACAAGAATGTCCTCCCTTGTTTCTTTTTGGATTATACTTTCTTGAGTTTATGCTTATGGTTGAACCTTTGGTAGTAGCATATTTTGCTGGATTGCATCTTATGTTTTCATTTCAAACTGTTACTTTTGCTCAGTTTTTTTCTTGAATTATGGATGGTTAAATTATAGCTTTTGCTTTCTGTGCCAGTTTGATTTTTTTGTGCCATATCCATCTGAAATCCTGTTTTTTGTCTTCTTTCTGGGCCAATTTGATTTTCACTAATTTTCTACTACCTTGGCCTTGTCGTTTATGCATCAAGATTTTCACTCCATTGATAATCCAAAAGGATTGTCAAAACAACTTGGTTTTATATATTTAACATGCATTGTTCGAGAACGCAACCCAGTATACAACAATATTCACTACAAAAATCATGCCTCTATCAAGATGTCTGATCATCTATCTTCAGAGAAAGGAGGAATTAGCAGGCTAGGTAACGACATTAGCCATCGATGGAATGAAGCTTTGCTAATAGAGTTGTAAAGCTTGAAGAAGGAAGAAAGCATTTCTACCACGAAGATGGCTCAAACCCAAGTGATGAAAAACTCTGCTCTAGTTCACTATGTTCACGTACTTCCTTGTTCTCAGATTTACAAGATGGCCTTTTGAAGTATTGTTTTGTTGGCTTACTGAAACTTCGGTTGCTGTAAACAGGTTAATAGAGATGACTTTGCCATGAATACTAAGCTTCAGCTATTTGGTCTCGTTGCAAAGACCTTTAACCAACTTAGAACGATCCAGCAACTTGGTTGCATCGCTGCACTTGCTCAGAGGTATATATACTTCTCCTTCATTTCCTAATATACCTCTCTGCAGTCTATCTAATCACGCTTTTCTGCAACTTAGGAACGATTCTGGCATTTATGGTGTACAGTTCAATATCGAGTCATCAGTCATGGTAACCAAACTATCTCTATCAGTTCGAGTTTCTGTAGTATCCTGTAATGCTCATGTCTGTAACTGCCTCGGTTTTAAACAGGGTCCTGGATGAGAATTCAAGGTGAGATTGGTGAACCAGCTAGTTCAAGTAATCTAGTATACAGTATTATCCTCTTTAACTAACTATTTCTCAAGAGCAATGTAACAGATTTGATATACATGAAGCTTGAAAAGCACAAAAACTTGAAGGAGGAGCTAAAGTTTTATGGGAGAGATTCAAAATGGAAGAACTCAAGTTCAACCGTAAAGAGGCAGAGGTACAGAAATAGCTTCCTCTTATCTTTTAAACTAAGATAACCGCCTCGAATAATTTAATCACTTGTTGTAGGATTAGTTCAAGTGAGTATGATGTTGTTTGGGAGAAACTAATTGATGAGAGAATGGGGTTTTTACTTGTGAAAAGGTTTTTGCACGGAGGCAGCTTCAGAAATCAGAAGCAGGAGTTAATAGATTTATTCGAGGAATGCATCAAGATTGGAGCAGGACGGAAGAAATCGTTGAGCACAAGACTATATTGGGAGTCAGCATTTGAAAGAAAAGGCAAGTGACAAAGATGAAGTCCCTTCACCATATGTTGAAATCGATGACATTGTTGCTTTCAGAAAGTCCCATCGTTCAGGTGACGCGGACAACCCAAACTAACTCTGAGGACTTAAATCTCATTTCATTATACAGAAGAAAACTATAGTTTTTTCCCCTTTATCATGTCTGGTTGTAAGACCTTAAATTTGACATCAATTGCTAGAAAACAAAGTTTCTATCATCTAGAGATTTGAAAAATAAAGGCAAGAGTAAACATTCAATGACTAAAGATAGCCTTTGTGGATAAAAGCAGAGATGTGGAACAACAAAGAGGGTAGTTTTATATATTTTCATTGGAGACATTATGATTATGAAAGAAAGCACATTCTTTTAAGTTCATGAACTGAGATGGGCTGATGCAGAGGCAATGCCTATAGTAAGCCACCCTTCTCAGTTCTTGTAAGTGCTTAAGCATCCTATACTTACGTTTAAACCATATATACGTATATAATATATGTATATGTCCGTTATAGTTTTTATTTTAGTTGGAGGATGAACTCATACCGTGTATAAACAGCACGTGGGAGGAGGAGGATGATATAGTCTAACCCGTTTCAGCCACCAGCTTAATTTCGTCATGCAACCTACATAGAAAACAGAGAAGCTTCATTATTAGATAACACAATGCATTATATGAACACAATTCTCCAGCAATGATCGTTCTATATATGCATATTGAGTCTGTGACTTTGTACCTTGTAAACAAAAGGATGATGCTTTCCTCCAGCTCCAGACCTCTTCACATAACCAATCTTCACCAACCTGTACAAGGAATCTTTATTATGTAAAATCCTGTAACAAGTTTCACGCTTCCGTGTGTGAAGATACAGTGACAAAGGCAGAGACTATATGTACATTCTGAGAGCTTTGCTTGTATCTGCGTTATCTCCAAGCGCCTGACGGATCTTGACTTCAGAAGAGCAGCTTGTGTCGAGAAACTCCAAGATCTTCCCAGCCTTACGTCTAACAGAACTCGACTTATGACTCTCTTTCTTCTTTGAATCTCTGTTCACCTTCTCACAACTCGTGGCTTTGATTCTGCTGCTCTCAGTGCTTGAAACCTCGTTGGAGCCTGTAGACAAGCATGACTCCTCCTTGGAGATAGCATCAAACTCTAGATTCTTCGAGTGTGTTACCGCCTTGGTATCAACAGAGCTGTAAACCCCATTCGTGCGGCGTTTTCTAGCAATCTGCATATCACTCATGGAATTTATTCAATCAAATCCTCAAATCGCAATCGGTTCCTAGTATACACATTCATCAACGCAAAATCCACTGAGAGAAGAATCGATTTCGACCTAAAAGAATCCAACACCTAGCGAATCGCGTAATCCAACTGGAGATAGATGATGATGATGAACGCACCTTGAAGTTCATGAAGTCATCCTCAGAGGTCCTCTGATACGACGAGGCATTGTTGGAGATAGCTGAATCGGACGATCTCGTAGAGACGAAGCTCATGCTTGCTTGAGCATCGATTTCACCACATAGCGAGTGATGTTTCTCCTCGGATCCAGATCTGTTACTACTGCGAAGCGATTTTGAGAATCAACGAAGGAATTGAAGCGTTTCAGAGACTTGAAAACTCATTTCGCGTACCTTGGAGAAGAGAAGGGGATTGGATCGGAGGAGAGGAGGAGGAGGAGAGACGACGCGACTTCGCTCTCGATCGAAGAAGGGAACTCGATCATCTTTCGATTTTTGAACTTTCGAAGCAAGTTTCTCTGCGTTTTTCTTATAGTGGCGGTATGATCTCGAGCTCTCTCTTCTAGTTTTTGAATTTTGATTTGAGAGTAATATCTCCATTTTGTTTGGGCTTTCTATTTTGAAGGTTGGGCTACTGATGAGCCCATTATTAAGTCCAATAAAAACTGGAATCATAACTATGAATTTGGATATTATTTTTGTCTTCCTTTAACTAATAAAATGAAGAAAAATTACTAATAAAAGAAGTTTAATATTTAATTATTAAAAATTAAAAAAACATAAAACTCTACGAATTAAATTTCTGTCTAATTTATTTAAAATTTAAAATTAAACTATAGTAAAATTCAGCTTTTAGAGTTTTTATGGATTGAAATGATTTTACAAAAATGACATCTTAGAGAAAACATTGGGTAAATAATATTAGAAAGTTAGTACACTGTACACTGTAAAAGACTGCTATTTTGCAGCCTTTTCCTATACTCTCTCTTTAATTTTTAATTTTAATATCTTCAAAATTTATAGTTTTTTTCTTTTATTTTTATAATCGGTAAAAATAAGTTTGAGAATCCATTATGAAAATAATGTTTTTCATCCTCGTATCTCTTTATTACTATTTCACTAGCAAGTACGGTACAAAAACAGTTCCGTATCACACTATAATAATAGTTATCTCGTGGTGGCTTGCATTGCCTGGTCCTACTTCAGATTACACCAAGAATTACTGTTTAATTGTCTCTTTGGGGATCTCAAGATAATAAAAAAAAAAAAAAAAAAAACTCACACACAAGTGTGCCCATTGACCTTACAGCTCACAGACCCCGACTTGCATTCAACCTCAAGCAACCTCACTTCCAATTCCAACCACCGCATTACATACACACAATTCGGTTGTTCTGATTCAGACAACACACCAAACCAACCACTTCCCTCCTTGTTCTGTCCCACCGTAAAACTCCCAAATCTGGAATCCGAAACATTCCCGATTCAGAAAGTTTCTAACTTTCAGGATCCGATGTTGGTTCAAGATCGTGCGGCTAAACCGCCAAAGTCTCAGATCAGAGAGCTCCCAACTAACCGACGCTTCACCGAACCGAAAAACCTAGACTTTACCTCATGGGTCTCCTCCAACGTCTCCAGAATCGTCATCCTCTCCCTCTCCATCGTCACCGTAGCGTCTTTCCTCTTCCTCTACAACACCACCGACACTGCCTCCCTCCTCTGTTTCCAGTCACAGTCAACTCAATCTCTCCAGCCTCTCACTCGTCCCCAAATCAAATGGAGCTCCATCAAAGTCCTCCCGGATAAAACCTCCCCTTACTCCACCTTCCTCACCGAGAAGTGGATTGTTGTGTCTGTGACGAAGTACCCTACAGAGGAGCTTAAGGGGTTAGTGAAGATCCGTGGCTGGCAAGTTTTGGCGGTTGGGAACTCGATGACACCGAAAGATTGGAGTCTTAAAGGTGCGATCTTTTTGTCTCTAGATGCTCAAGCTGAGTTGGGTTACCGAGTTTTAGACCACTTGCCTTATGATTCGTTTGTGAGGAAGAGTGTTGGTTACTTGTTTGCGATCCAGCACGGTGCTAAGAAGATTTATGATGCTGATGATCGTGGGGAAGTGATTGGTGGAGATCTTGGGAAGTGTTTTGATGTTGAGTTGGTTGGGGAAGATGCTAAGCAAGAGCCGGTTTTGCAGTATAGTCATGAGAATCCGAATAGGACTGTGGTGAATCCTTATATTCATTTCGGACAGCGTTCGGTTTGGCCTAGGGGTTTGCCGTTGGAGAATGTAGGTGAGATTAATCACGAGGAGTATTACACTGAGGTGTTTGGTGGTAAGCAGTTTATTCAGCAAGGGGTTTCGAATGGTTTGCCTGATGTTGATTCGGTGTTTTACTTCACAAGGAAGACTACTTTGGAGGGTTTTGATATTAGGTTTGATGAGCATGCTCCTAAAGTGGCTTTGCCTCAAGGTGTGATGGTGCCGGTTAATTCGTTTAATACTCTTTACCATTCTCCTGCGTTTTGGGGGTTGATGCTTCCTGTTTCGGTTAGTTCCATGGCTTCTGATGTGTTGAGAGGGTACTGGGGACAGAGGTTGTTGTGGGAGCTTGGTGGTTACGTTGCTGTTTATCCACCAACGGCTCACCGGTTCGATAGAGTTGAAGCTTATCCTTTTGCAGAGGAGAAGGATCTTCATGTCAATGTTGGTCGTTTGATCAAGTTCTTACTTGCTTGGAGGTCTGAGAAGCACAGTTTCTTTGAGACGATTCTTGATCTGAGCTTTGCTATGGCTGAAGAAGGGTTTTGGACGGAGCAAGACTTGAAGTTCACAGCTGCTTGGCTTCAGGATTTGATTACTGTCGGATACCAACAGCCTAGGCTGATGTCACTAGAACTGGATCGGCCACGAGCTACTATAGGTCACGGGGATAGGAAAGAATTTGTTCCCAGGAAGTTGCCTTCGGTTCATCTAGGCGTGGAGGAGACAGGTACGGTGAGTACTGAGATAGGGAACTTGATAAGGTGGAGGAAGAACTTTGGGAACGTTGTTCTTGTTATGTTTTGTAGTGGTCCCGTTGAACGCACTGCTCTTGAGTGGAGGTTACTCTACGGCAGAGTGTTCAAGACCGTTGTGATATTGTCCTCTCAGAAGAACTCGGATCTCTATGTTGAAGAAGCCAAACAAGACCACATTTACAAGTAAGAGTTGTATAAGCAATGTTCTAAAAAATTGGTCTAGGCAGCAAATTGGCCATAGCAGAAACGATTTTCTTAAGATTCGATTTATGCAACGCAAATCGATTAACTATATGTTGGTTGAAGTTGAAGCTTCTAATGGTATTTGTATGTATGTTTCAGGCATCTACCGAAGATATTCGATCGATACAGTAGTGCAGAAGGGTTCTTGTTTGTTGAAGATGATACAATACTCAACTACTGGAATCTACTTCAAGCCGACAAGACTAAGATTTGGACAACAGACAAGGTATGACATGTTCATGACATTGTCATTTTCTTGCTATCTGGATATGTGTATCTTACAAGGCAATGGTTTAGGTGTCAAAGTCATGGACATCAGTGAAACCCACCGGGAAGTCTGATTGGTTCTCTACACAAGCCGAGCTAGTGAAGAGAACTGTAAGTACAATGCCTGCTCATTTCCAAGTTAACTACAAGGAAGCAGCCAAGAACAATCAAGACACTTTAACGGTATGCAGCTCAGAGGTATTCTACGTGCCTAAACGATATGTATCGGACTTTATGGAACTTGTCGAGCTCGTGGGAGATATGGACTTGCATTACAAAGTGGCTCTGCCAATGTTCTTCATGTCCATGGATTCGCCTCAGAACTTTGACCCGGTTCTTGGCTCTATGGTGTATAAGAGGAAGTCTTCTTCGTTTAACTCTTCTTTGAGTTTGTATTCTGCTCAAGCATCTGCTGTTCACCCGTGGAGCATATCAAGTGAACAAGATTTTATTAAACTGGTTGGACAAATGGCTGAAGGTGACCCGTTACTAATGGAATTGGTATGATGATGACAGAGTCAGGGGGTAGAAGTTACAGTAATGCAATGATAGAAGAAAACAGAGTTAAATACAAAAGATTGTGTCCTTTTGATTCTCTTTTCAAATTTTTTTTTTTTGGAGAAAGTCATGTAATGTTCCATTGTAACCATACATTTTGTGAGTGTATAATGTTTCCCCATATAAATTCAATCTCTAATTTCATCAATGCGGACAATAAAATGTTTCATAAAGTTGGAAACAAGGAAGAGTTGTATGATATAGGAGTATTAAGGAAGCTTGGTGAAGAGATCCTGAAGCTGAGCGTGACTCACTAAGACACCCAGTTTCTGTGAGATTGCTTCTCTCACTGTCTCGGGATCCAAGCTTGACAAGGTATCCGTACCGCTCATGGTAATGTACTCACTCAAATTGTGCAAGACTCCGTCTTTCAGAAAGAAACAAGCTGATGAAATGAGTATTGTTAATGGAAGGGTGGAGAAGTTGTTACAGCTTTTACCTTGGGCAACAATGGCCTGATAAGGTGGAGGTTGAGCAGTCCAGCTTCCATCAGGCTCTTTCATGTGTCTTCTATCAGAAGCAAAGTGCTTAAAGAAGAGAGGAGCATGCACGATGCGAAAGAACCTGATCTCAACCAGACAAAAGAACCAAACAAGCTAGATTATATTCTCCTAACTTTCCCAGCACTGATATCAAAGTAACCTACAGCTTTGACATCTTATATCATCATCCAGATACCAAAGGAGCTATATATATTCCAGATGTCAAAAGTAACCTACTGCTTACATCCTGACATAGGTTACTGTGATGGATGTACCTCTGATATTCAGCAAAAAGCTGAAAAGAAGGCTGGGTAGTTTGAGACACGTATGAAGCTAATGGTGAAGGGAAAGGCAAAGTCGAATCAAGATCCCACACCAAAGGCTCAGAATCACTTTCTTTCTTCCTCTATTGATGCAAATAGATAAAACCAAAAATCAAGGCTGATTCAAAGAACGATACTTTGGAACAACCATACACAAGTCCAAAGCTGCTCGCTCACATATTTAATGGTTTTACCTGGACACAGATGACGTGATAATCCCATAGTACAATCCCATCAGCTCTGGTACTAGCTTTCTGATGCCAAAGTGGAACCTACACAAAATTTATACAGCTTGTATTCAGACAGTGCAATACCAAACACTAAACAAGACAAAACATAGGAGCTAAGAGAAACATGCTTGCCTGTTTCTTCTCATTGGAGATGAAAACAACAAACAGATCAGAACCATTCGCATCCGCTACACCATTCTCACACAACGTCTTGCAAAGTAGATACACGTTCTCTTCGCTACTAAAATAAAAGTCAACATTTTTATTAGGTTCTTACCAACCACCACCAAACAGACAAAAAGATTGTCCGAAAGAGGAACGAAATCAAGTAAAACCTTAAACTTAAAAAGGGTTTTCTGGGTTTTAAGATCATGTAAGAAAGTATATTAAGCGGCTCAATCATTTGAAGAAAATCTGAATCGAAGGGAGTTATGTGAGGAAAAGTAAGGGGTAAGAGAATATTCACCTACCAGTAGAAAGGAGTGTGTTTGAACTGAGTGACATCCATCGCCGGAAGCTCCGAGATGACGCTTGACATGTTTTGCTTTTAGATTTAATCACTGCTCTTCAATATTTTTATTACTTGTAGCAACTTTGATCATCTCCTCTTTCTTCTAATGGTGCGGAACAGAGATCAGAGGACCCATATAGAAAAGGAAAAAAAAAGGTTTTGCAGTTCATCGAGTCAGCGACGTCGTATCGGCGGGTTAATCTTAAATTATCGTGTAATAAGTTAAACGGCGTCGTATCGTTGATACGTTGCCACGGGGCCGTATCATGGATAAGTTAGGAGAGGAAGATGATTAGTGTGTTGAAAGAGATGGTGAGGTTGCACTATGATAGCAACCAGTTGAAGAATAAGAAGAATGAGTTTGGTCCTTTAGAGAAATTGTTACTCTGAATAGTTGATACTATTTTGATTACATTAATCCAGAGTTGTTTTTAACAAGAGTTCTACTTCTACATCAATAGTGACACTAGGAGAAGAAAACAAATCAGCACACATCCGTAATTTTATTGTGGAACACATATAGACCGATCACGTAGACTTTACAATAATAAACTTGAAAAGAAGAAGAAGAAGACATGGGACCATCCACGTGACTTGAGAACTTGAGGCAAGTTCGTGGACCTTCCATTTTGCCATCATATATAACTTTGGGAATTTTGGTTAAGATATGTGGTGGGGTGACACTTTTTCACATGATATGTTTTCAGCTTTTTAGCCCCACATGATACTCTGCTGCCTAGTTCCTAAAGCACCATAGTATTCTATACATTCATCAAATCCCTCACAAAATTGGAGATCAAGGTTAGTTCATTTCATCGTTTTGAATGAGTTATTTCTTTGGTTTTATACGGGTTCTTAAACACAATCATATAACTGTGTATGATTGTGTTGTTGCCTTTGACTCTTATCAAATCTCCCAAATATCTAATCGAACTCGCACCTTCCTCTCTTGTAGTGTTTAATTATCATTAATTTAAACGTATTTTCCTACCGAGTGTATAACATGTTAGCTTTCTATATGTATAGTCTTTGTATTTCTATAAATTTAATGATTTGAAAATTAGAGAGAGATTGATAGAACTTGTTGTATTATATATACTGACAAGGCATCATTTTCTCTGATGGACTAAGTGGTCACGATTTCCATTACACAATTGATCAATCAACAATATTTAGGTAATTGATGATAGTAAGTTATTTAAGAATTTTGACTTGTTGTAGAAAGCCATCAAATAATTATAGTTATATAACCCTTAGAATGACTCAAATGATTGATCAACAAAACATAAAATACAAAGAACATTGATGGTAACTGATTCTGAAAATCTTTTGTACATATGTATGATTATATATTCCATAAATATATTTGGTAATTGGTATATACCAAAAATGAGGAAAAGGAAAGTGGAGAGAAAAGAACAAGTATATCCATGTCTCTATGACCTTTGCTAAAAGCCTTATAAAGTAAAGCTGTTATGTTATACTGCACTTATCTGTTTTTTGGTACTTTTAAATTGTTTTATTTTATTATAGGGAAAGTGCTTATATTTCAAAAAGAATGCAATTATGCAAATTCACATGCTAAAGTTGTCATGCTGAAATACTGAAATGATGAGACCAATCTCTCCAGTAGCAACATATGGTATACATATATAGCTTATTCATTCTTATAAAACTTTTCTTTGAAAAATATCTTCAGTTAATACTAAATCAAGTTTAAAAAGACATAAAGAGAAAAAAAAGTATTTATTAAAAAAAATATATATAAATATCTTTATATATTTGGATGAGAAGTTTCATGATTAGAGTTTAATATTTAGTAATTAGGGATGATATTAGAGTTTTTTTAAGAAAGGGTTTTACTAGAGTAATTAGGGTTTGGGATGTAGGATAACTGTATTTTATTAATTAATATATTAGTTTCTCTTTAAATGTTATACTAGATTTTAATCCGCGCAACCGCGCGAGTGTTTGTTTTCATTTATAGTTAGTTATATAAACATTTTGTTTTCACTTGTAAATTGGTATATATTATAGTAATCACATATTTACGATATGTATAGTAAATATTTTTCAAACATAATAATATTATATAATAAGTGATTTAATCAAATAGACTGTTTCAAATTTTCTATATTATACATGTTTTTCAAACATGTGTTTGTTTCTTCTTCTATATTTTATTGTTTGTTAGATTAGTATTTCATTTTTAGATAAAGTAATATAAATAGAGCTTGATTAAATATTAGTATACTTTAATTTGAAAAGATAATATAAACTCCGAAGAATTTTTTGCTAAAAACTAAACTTATAGCTTCATGAATTAATATTATAAAGAATTTTATTAAAAAAGATTTTTTTAAACAATTTCTTTTTTTTTAAACAATATAATTTTAAAAATTTACGTCGAAATAAATTTATCTAATATATATAGCGTGTAAATTTTGTTAGGGTATATAAATATTCCATATTACTAATATGTGATTTTTGTTAATATATTGTGGATGCATTTAACTATTATTAATATATTTACTTATAAATAATAGAAGATTCTTAAACTTATATCTATTGACATATTTTGCGTGACTAAGTTGGATGGTGTGGGATAATTTACCAGAACCAAATTGTTAAGCGTATCTTTGTTATTATAGATATGATTTTTCATAAGATATAATAATGATAAGATAAGATTATTAGAGAGTTAATGTAACCTAACTTTCTAGTAATAGTCAATTTTTAAAAAAATCACACATAAAGTTAAGTTATGACTTCTGTTTTAATATATAAGATTTGTCATTTGTGACAAAAAAAAATTAAAAAATGCTGTTTAGAAGATTTGTATATTTTTATCCCGAGATTCTATAACACTAGAACTATGTAAAATGTATTTGAATAGCTTTTATGTGTGTTAAATTTTCTGTAAGATCTTATCCTAGTAGGTGAGATTATATATATACTAGATTTCACTCATCGTTTCTTAAAATTTTTTGTATCATTATTTTGTGAATGTATTTATAACTACAGTTTGTCTTTGTTTCCCTAAAGACAAAACTAGGTTGCTTTTCATTACTAAAACAAACCCATAGATAAAATTAATATTTTTGTTTTACTAATTTTGTAACATAACATTAATGAAATGGCTAATGTTGTATATATTTTGTTTACAATTTGTCCATCTTCAACCCCCAAAATTCAAAAACATGTGTTAAATTTGGGTTCATGTCACACTTTCATGTAGTTTTTTTTTTTACAAAATGTAATGAGAAATTGAAAAGCCAAACATTGGTCGGTAGATTTGTTTTTAAAAAACATTGGTCGGTAGATCTTTTTTCTCGCCATAAATTAGGACAGAGCTCTTAAACGTCATTCTCAAACACCATTGTCTTCTCCCTCTATCTTCTTCTCCCTCTCGTCGTCTACAATCATTCATCTCTCTACTGTAAATCTAAAAGAATAAAAAAAAAAAGCATTACAAAAGGTAAAGAGAGAGATACGTAATAACACAGAGCATACTCTGTTTCTTTCCATATAATAATCCAATTCGCTTTCATGATCGTTATTCATTTCTTTTTTTCTAATCACCAGCTCGTCTTGCATAATCTCTGAGCGCCTGCAACACACAGATCTTCGACAGGTACTCGTTTCTATCTGGATCGGTTTGACTTAATGCGGATCATCTGAATTGTGATTGTGTTCGTACCTTGCTCTGTTCTGCAGATGCTCATGTCTCTCTGTTTTTTTCTCTGATCTGCTTAAATCGTTTAAAATTTTCTCTTTTTCTTGTCCAATTATGTAAATTATCGATTTTTTTCTTAATGGGTATTCTGAATCATCTATGATCAATGTCTAGAAATCACAAAAGTTTCGATTTTTTAATCCGGAAATGAGTATTTATTGGATCATAAGCTTCACTGATGAACAATGAGTTTATCTCTCAGTGATCAATCCCCGCCAGGAATTTTCGTGGATCACTAGCTTCCAGAGATTGGACCAGACTTTTGTGCAGATGGATGTCGTGTGATGAGAAATATTATTATATTATTATTATCCACTCTCCACATTTATATTGCAAAGTTGAGCCAAAGAATGATAGAATCTGCCGGATCATCTTCTCATGTTTTTCTCTTTGTTCTGTATGTTTTGGCTGAACAGGTTCATTGACGTGAGTAGTTTCATAACTTACACACACGGAAAAGAAGATTTGAGAGTTATACAAAATGTCTGGGTCAGCAAAAGTATTGGATCCTGCATTTCAAGGAGCTGGACAGAAACCGTATGTTTTAAGCAACACAGCTTCTTTTCCATTGCTTTTTCATTAGTATTAGATTTTTGAATATTTGGACTGTATGATGAGGATGTTGAACTTATCATTCTTTTAGAGGGACTGAGATCTGGAGAATCGAGAATTTTGAGGCGGTTCCAGTGCCAAAGACTGAACATGGAAAGTTCTATATGGGAGACACTTACATTATCTTGCAGGTTTGTATTGTCTTTGCTTGTTCAACTTTGTTCCCTCCTATCGTTATCATTCATTCACCTTTGTGTTATGTTTTTCTTCCACTTGCGCAGACAACACAGAACAAAGGAGGTGCTTATCTGTTTGATATACATTTCTGGATTGGTAAAGATACAAGTCAGGTATCTATTTTTTCCTGACTCTTTTTTTGGGTCATGACCGGTTTTTGGTTATCACTAACTTGTGCCTTTGATAATTACAGGATGAATCTGGAACAGCAGCTGTTAAAACAGTTGAACTCGACGCAGTTCTTGGAGGCCGTGCTGTCCAACACCGGGAAATTCAGGGTCATGAATCTGACAAGTTCTTGTCTTACTTCAAGCCATGCATTATACCATTAGAGGGCGGTGTTGCGTCTGGTTTCAAAACACCTGAAGAAGACATGTTTGAGACACGGTTATATACCTGCAAAGGGAAACGTGCTATCCGTTTGAAGCAGGTTTAAACCTATTGCACTATCTTCGCATCAGAAGAGTGATCACCAATGTACATTAACTCTTACTTTTATTCTTTGTCTATGTTTGTAGATTCCTTTTGCCCGTTCATCGCTGAATCATGATGATGTATTTATCTTGGACACCAAGGAAAAGATCTATCAGTTCAACGGTGCAAATTCAAACATCCAGGAGAGAGCCAAAGCTTTGGAAGTTGTTCAGTATTTGAAAGACAAGTATCACGAAGGAACTTGCGATGTTGCTATTGTTGGTAAGCATCCTCTTTCTCAGTTTTTGGTGTGGCAAAGCTTTCACAGGTGTGTTAGATGGAAACTAATGTAAGTTATGTATTTCATTGCGTAACAGATGATGGAAAATTAGATACAGAATCAGATTCTGGTGAGTTTTGGGTCCTCTTTGGTGGTTTTGCTCCAATAGGAAGGAAAGTCGTTAATGATGATGACATTGTCCCGGAATCAACTCCACCAAAGCTTTATTGGTATAATCATCTTCCATTTAATCATACTCCTACCTTTTAGTTTCCAATATGATGAAGCTATTTGATATGTTGTTTTTCTTCAGCATCACTGATGGTCAGATGGAACCTATAGATGGCGATCTATCCAAATCTATGCTGGAAAACACTAAATGCTACCTCTTGGACTGTGGTGCTGAGGTGTTTGTCTGGGTTGGTCGTGTAACTCAAATGGATGAGAGGAAAGCTGCTAATCAATCTGCTGAGGTAAAAAAAAAAGTGTAAACCATCTAAAATTTTAACCGTAGTCTCAATCATGTCTTCTCACTTTTCACCTTTCGTTTCCAGGAGTTTCTTGCTAGTGAAAATAGGCCAAAGGCAACACGAGTTACACGTGTTATCCAAGGTTACGAGTCTCACTCTTTCAAGTCTAACTTTGACTCTTGGCCATCAGGCTCGGCTCCCTCTGGTAACGAAGAAGGACGAGGAAAAGTTGCTGGTATAACACCAACTTTGAAACTCTTATTCCGTAGTTTTAGCTCTCACTTACTAATGGCACTGCACTATTTCTCTAGCTATGCTGAAGCAACAAAATGTTGGGCTCAAGGGCATTTCGAAAAATGCAGCACCAGTGAATGAGGATATACCACCTCTGCTTGAAGCTGGTGGAAAGTTGGATGTATGTTTTGCTGTCTTGACGTGTTATGCCTTTATTTTACACATTTGGCTAGGTTTTAACCATTTTGATATATATCATTATGCCTATGTATTAGGTTTGGCTTGTTGATGGTAAAGCCAAGAGTCCGTTACCTAAAGAAGATATTGGCAAGCTCTATTCTGGGGACTGCTATTTGGTCCTTTACACCTATCATTCTGGGGATAGGAAAGAAGACTATTTCTTGTGCTGTTGGTTTGGAAAGAATAGTATTCAGGTAACTCTAATGTAAAATAGTGGCAAAATTATATAAAGTCATTACTTATGCTTCCATTTATTGGTTAGTTTGACATGTCTAAGTTTCTTCCTTGTCTTTCCTTGTACTACATATGAGTATTAAATTTTCAATTATTTTGTTACCTGATTCTATATGTGAGAGCGTTGCTGTTTTAGCTCGTTAGTTATTGGGTGTTGATGTTACTAGTTGTACTGTTAGCTCAGCTCCATGAACATAATGTTATGGATTTCTGAATTTTAGCTTAATTTCTCTTTTATTCAGGAAGACCAAGATACAGCACTTAGACTGGCGAATACCATGTCAAACTCGTTAAAGGGAAGACCTGTGCTGGTACGAAGTTTTCTTTTTTTTCTGAAAGCAATGATGAATAGTATTAGAAAGATCGATAAGTGATGGGGGTCTTCTTGCAGGGCCGTATATACGAGGGTAAAGAGCCTCCACAGTTTGTTGCCCTTTTTCAACCTATGGTGATCCTAAAGGTATTTATATGACGATGAAACTGAACTTGGTTGCAAGAGAAAACACAGTGATCAATATGGTTTACATGGATTTTTAGGGTGGTTTGAGCTCTGGGTACAAAAGCAACTTGGAAGAGAAAGCTTCACCAGATGAAACCTACACACCAGAATCAATTGCACTAATTCAAGTGTCTGGAACTGGAGTTCACAATAACAAGGCGCTGCAAGTTGAACCGGTACTTGACTAGTTTTGTTTTCTTATTTGTGAAATATTGCTAGTTGATCAAGTATGTGCGCTATTTGTTCAGAGTTTTGTATTAATGGAGAGACCGATTACTTTGTTGATTTGTTATTTTAACTCGTAATTTTGTGTTGTGATACTTCCTTTAGGTAGCAACATCTTTGAACTCGTATGAGTGCTTCTTACTGCAATCGGGTACTTCTATGTTCCTTTGGCATGGAAATCAAAGTGCGCATGAGCTTCTAGACCTGGCTTCTAAAGTTGCTGAGTTCTTGAAGGTTTGTTTTTGGCTCATACTGTGTTGTTTCATTCCTGAAGTTGAGTTTTATATGGACACCATATTAGAAATTTGTTCTTTTGATATATATTTTAAGCATCTTCTGTTTTTTTTTTTTTTTGCTATGCCAGCCTGGGGTTACTCTCAAGCATGCCAAAGAAGGAACAGAGAGCTCAACCTTTTGGTTTGCACTTGGAGGAAAGCAGAACTTCACCAGCAAGAAAGCTGCACCTGAGACTGTCAGGGATCCTCATTTATTCTCATTTTCAATCAACAGAGGTGAAAATAACAATAGGATGATAATAATTGTGATTCTTTACTCTTATATATACTTTCCCCAAATTTATCTGTATTCTAATGTATCATTTATCTTTCAAATGTGTCTGCCTGCAGGAAAGTTTCAGGTGAGATGTTGGCGAAGTTGCACAAGTTTCGTCATTCGAGATGCTGTTTTGTGTTTTTTAACAAGATTCTCTGCAACAGGTTGAAGAGATCTACAACTTTGCTCAAGATGACCTCTTGACTGAGGATATATATTTCCTTGACACTCATGCTGAAGTTATTGTCTGGGTTGGTCAATGTGTGGACCCCAAGGAGAAGCAAACTGTGTTTGAGATTGGCCAAGTAACTCTATTTCCTTATCAACTTCGCTTCCCCCTCTTCTTTTTTTGTACTGTTTGTCAGTGAGACAGTTTAATGGCAGAAATACATTGATCGTGCTGGATCATTGGACGGCTTGTCTCCTAAAGTTCCACTTTACAAAATCAACGAAGGGAATGAACCATGCTTCTTCACCACTTACTTTACTTGGGATCACACTAAATCTATCGTAAGTTTAGTTTACCTTTTTCTCAGTGTCTGGCATAAAAATATATGTGTTCTCCGTGAAATGTAGTTAAAGATTTAGTCGTTGAATGGAGGTTTGGAAAATGAGTAAACGCAGAAAATGAGGATTGTGGTTTCAGAAACTTTACACAAATTGAAGTTAAGTTAGATTGAAGTACTCAATAACCTGGACGAACCAGTTAGGAAGCTCTGCAACTACAGAGAGGAGGCAAGATATATTATAATGTGAACGCAGAAGCTGGACAAACATGGATTAAGAAGGCTATATATATAACTAGATATCTGATTGTACCTCTTAGCTTTTACTTTATAGTTTCTCTTCTTTTCTCCTTATATTTAAGTCTCTTCAATGTTTTAAATCTGTGATATAGGTGCAAGGAAACTCATTCCAGAAAAAAGCAGCCATGTTATTTGGCACTCACCACGTTGTAGAGGTACTAGAACTTTGCTTTCTCTGTTTCTCTTTACTTGTGTGAAGCGCTCTTGTTACTTGTTCCGTCTTTTTGGCTTCATGATAGTTGTATCCTTGTGCTGTTTCAGGATAAGTCTAGCGGTGGTGGACCAAGGCAGAGGGCTGAGGCACTAGCTGCCTTAAATTCTGCCTTTAATTCTTCTTCTAGCAGACCTGCCTATTCGGTAAATATTTATCTAACCACGGATCCCAATGTTTCTACTATATTGACTTTGAGTAATGACTGAAGATATTGCATATTATGAAAACTTTGATCAATATGACTTTCTAGACCAAGTTGCTTTAACACATGAATGAAGCTCATCTTTGTCTGTGTTAGTCAAGCCTAACCCATCACAGAGTCACCTTAATAATGTTTAGCAAGTCGCATCTGATTCATTGATAAGTGAACTTAGATAGTCATCCATTAAAACTGCAGAGCCAGGACAGATCAAGCGGAAGTGGAGACGGTCCAAGACAAAGAGCTGAAGCTTTAGCCGCCTTGACATCCGCGTTTAGTTCATCATCGACTAAAGCGCCTCCACCACCAAGGTCAGTGGGGACGAGTCAGGCTTCGCAGAGAGCAGCAGCAGTGGCTGCTCTCTCTCAAGTTCTTGTTGCTGAGAATAAGAAGACACCTGATACCTCTCCTACAAGAAGATCTACTAGCTCCAACCCAGCAGATGACTCTCATCTAAGTAAGTTTCCATCTTTCATTTCACGTTCTGAAAATTTCTATAACAAAAGATTTGAATATATCTATCTTTATCCACCGCCAAAGATGATCAAGCAGATGCTCCAGAAGAAGAGGAGGTATCTTCTGCAGTAGAGGAGCCTGAAGCAAAGCAGGAGGAAACAGAAGAGCGAGATGAATCTGTGATAGAACCAGGTGGAGCAACTTTCACCTATGAACAGCTGAAAGCCAATTCTGAGAACCCAGTGACTGGAATTGATTCCAAGTGCAGAGAGGTGAGTTGGTTATAGTTAGTGTTTGGTACTGAGTCACTCTGCTTATCACCTAACTTGCTGGTTTGTTTAATGTTGTGATCATTTTATTACAAGGCTTATCTATCTGAGGAAGAGTTCCAAAGTGTGTTTGGGATGGAGAAAGAAGCATTCAACAACTTACCACGTTGGAAGCAAGATCTTCTTAAGAAGAAATTCGACTTGTTCTAGAACACTCCCAACACCAATGAGAAAAACATATCACACATCATTTATTGCACCGTCCTGCAGTTCATTCTATACTAAAGTCACTGAATGTGTGGTCAGTCATTTTGTTGTTGGTTTGAAGAGTGTTCTTTTTTTTTTGGTTTATCTTCTTCAATTTTATTTACTTTTTTTTTTCATGGGTTGGTTTTGGTTTTGATTCTTAATATTTTTCTTACAGCACAATCAGATGTCTTGTAATGATGATCATAGTTTGTAATGATTGTT